TTAATTGTCTTCAGCTCAAGGGTCCTTCTTGTTGGGGCAGCATAGCCTCATCTCCCTCTGTTTTCTCTTGGTGTCCTCCAGCTGGGAAGGCTCAAAGGCTGGGGGAGTTGCCAGCATGAGGTCTGCCCACTGGATCTGTCCTCCACGGAGGGCAGCATACCCTGTGCTTTCTATCCCATCATGAAGAGGCCAAGGCTGTCTGACAAGGTCACAGCAGGAGGTCTGCCTCTGCAGGGCGTGAGAACGACAAGCTACAGTCCTCTTGGTGGTAGATTTATTAATAATTATATCCTAAACAAGAAAGCTAGAGTTTCCCGGTGCTTTTGCTGATGATCACTATATTCTTGGAACTCTGTGAAAAACAACCTCTGCTCAAAATGACCTCAGGGACAGTTGACCTGTTTGATGGATTAGATCCTCCTAGAGTAATTCAACTCCTCTGATGCTTCAGTTATCTGCAATAAAAGCCTAGAGGGAGTTCTAAACCATCAGATATGTGGTATGTAGCTATGTAGCTATGTAGGTGAGGGATAAGAGGGTCTTTGGGAAAGGTCTTCAGTCTTCTGCTATAATCCACTTGAGAGCGTGTCTTGACATGGATTAACAACTTGTAAATAAGGGCTAATAATTTAAGCAGCTGAGAAAAACACAAACAGTGATAAATATCTTAGTATGTGTGGTCTGGTGAAAAGAACATAAAGCAATTACTGAAATCAGTGAGTGAATCTTAAATGAGTTACTAAAATTAAATAATAGTGAGGGGTTATAGAAAGGACAAGTGTAATAAATGGGTTTGTTTGAGCATGGTGTTGTGGTTACTAGTAGAGTTAAACTAAAAGGTAAATGTTCCAACCTTCGTAATCAATTTTTACAAAACCAGTAGATGTTCCAATTCTTTACAAAATAACCAGTTGTTTTTGTAATCGATTATTATATAATTTAGTGTCACTTTGAGTCTTTGTTCTATTCTATCTTTTTAAAAAAGATTTATTTATTTTACTTGAAAGAGTTACACAGAGAGAGAAGGAGAGGCAGAGAGAGAGAGAGGCAGAGAGAGAGAGAGAGAGAGGTCTTCCATCTACTGGTTCATTCCCCAATTTACCACAACAGCCGGAGCTGTGCTGATCCAAAGCCAGGAGCCAGGGGCTTCTTCCGGGTCTCCCACATGGGTGCAGGGGCCTAAGGACTTGGGCCATCTTCTACTGCTTTCCCAGGCCATAGCAGAGAGCCGGATTGGAAGTGGAGCAGCTGGGACTAGAACTGGTGCCCATAGGGGATGCTGGCACTGCAGGTGGAGGCTTTACTCGCTATGCCACAACGCTGGCCCCTCTATTGTATCTTAAATATCAAGCAAATCTTTACAATCAAAGAACTTGTTACACAGCTATAGAAATTGGGATTAAGGAGAAATTACACATAGTACAAGGTCAATGGTTTAAAGTGGATGGAAAACAGACTTTGTTATTGTAAGGATGAATCATTAACTTTGTAAAGATCATTAATGAATGGACATTTGCAAAATTTATGAGAACAGTACAGAATGTGTAAAATGAACAGCAGATGTAACTTAGGGTATAAAGTCTGGTGCTCTCTCATCAGAGCCATGCCATCAGCCTTGCTGTTGAGTGTGTCTCTCATTTCTTCTGCACCAACAACACCTCCCACACCTTCCGGGACCCCTGGACCTGCTGGAGCCGTGCTCTAGCACCATCACCCCCAAACTGTTTGCAAACCCTTGGAAATGAGCCCCAGGGGAGTCCTGCAAATCTCTCTTTGGTGTGCAGTCCCAGGTGAGAGCTAACAATGAGTTCCACTGAGTGAAGTCTTCTCTGTCCTCCTTTGGTCCCTGGTCTTCCACAGCTTCTCAACAGTCACCCATCCAGAAATGATCAGCAAATATTTGGCTTTCTTTTGTATTAAATACTAACCTGGGGTGGGGGGTAGGGGGAGTGGTTCCATTGTTAAATGAGAGTGAAAAGCCTCTCCGTGTCCTTGCACATTAGGCAAAAACAACACAGACCCCTTCTGTCTGGTTCATGGTGAGGCTTAGCACCTGGCACAGCGGCAGATGGTGGGCACTGATCAAATATTTGCTGGTTGTATCATAAAGTCCAGTGTGGAGGACCAAGACCGGGTATTTGCAAGAGGTAGGTAGGTGCAGGATTCCCTCCTCCAGGTTCAAGGCTGCTTCCAAATACCTGGATATCTTCTTAGAGGATTTCTGGAGACGTGTCCTTCTCATCCTCTGGCAAGCCCAGCCATCTGACTCCACTGTGGGAAGCAGACACTGTTGGAAAAGGTGGGTTCTCCAGGGTGCCCCATCAGTTCTTACAGTCCTGTGGGCCCCATACCCTGTCCAGTCCTCTGACTCCAGCAAGCATCTCAAAAACAGTCTCCATTGGGCCAGGTCGTTTGGCCATGTAGTTGATTGTGGGATCAGCCCTCCCTACATCCATCACTAAGACATTCAGAAAGGTGATGTCCCAAAATACCAAGGCCTTATATTTCTGGCTATCACCAAGGCTCCGGAACCCCTTCACAACTCCCTTGTTACTCATTTTCTCTTTGCAGAGCTTAACTCACAGTCCTACTTAAATAAATAAATAAATAAAATGAAATAATAAACTGTTCTTTGACAGTCAAGACAAGGGCTGTTCAAGTAATTGCTTCTTGTAGTGCAGTTTCACTTCTAGAGGTTACCTTTTAGATGCTCTGTTGGTTGTCACAGATCAGGGAGAACATATGGTATTTGTCCCTTTGGGACTGGCTTATTTCACTAAGTATGATGTTTTCCAGATTCATCCATTTAGCTGTAAATGACTGGATTTCGTTTATTTTAACTGCTGTATAATATTCCATAGAGTACATATCCCATAGTTTCTGTATCCAGTCTTCCTTTGATGGGCATTTAGATTGATTCTACATCTTGGCTATTGTGAGTCATTGCTGCTTTCTCTTGCGGTGCATGCCAGCCCACTTCAATTCTTTTCTAGAGATCACAAGAACCCGACTTTCACCAACAATGTCACCCATGTGGTTGATCCCGATTGAGTTCCTGGCTCCTGGCTCCAGCCTGGCCTAGCCCCTGCTGTTGTAGGAATCTGGGGAGTGAATCAGCAGGTGAGAGCTCACTCTGTCCATCTGTCCCCACTCCAGTCTATCTGCCTTTCAAATTAGTAAAATAAATGAGTAAAAAATTACATGTAAGAAGTCAGCCACTACCAAATTCTGTAGCCTTGAAACGTTTCTTGGCATCTGTGGATTCTGGTTGTCCCATTTGTAAAATGAGACCCAGGAGAGTATGTTTTACAGGGTTATTGAGAGGGTTAAATGAGATGTGCTTGTGAAGTTTATCACCATGCCTGACACAAAAGGAAGACTCCTGAAACCTTAACTATTATCACTAAATATTTAGGAAAATTGGAGTATTCTCTTACTGCACTATTGGTAGAAAGATCCACTTTTTTACAAACATCAGACTTGACAGATATTCTACAATAAGCTATGAATATGTTTTGTGAACCCCCAAATCTCACATTTTTGCCCATGTGTGAGTTTTATTTTCTTTAAACTATAAAAGTTATGCATTTAATCTACAGACAGCTTGATTATGGGAGGTAAGATAAGACCTGCAGAAACAGAGACATGAATCTGAAATGTCTCCAAATGCCCACTGGGTTTTAAAAATACTCACAAGAGATTCTAAAGTTCACTTGGAAGAATAAACCAGTGATCCTGGCCAAGAAATTTTGAGAAACAACAAAGTGCAACCTGTGCATGGTGAGTACTTAAAAGTACAAGGCATGGAAACTTACTCTCCACTCTCCATGACAAAACATAAAATGCGACTTATGGAGGGGGTGGCTTCTCTAAACATAACTCTAGGGCAGAAACCATCAAAGAAGACTGACAGGTTTCAGCGCATGAAAACACAACTTTCTCACACTGAAAATTAAAATGTTGAAGTACAAACCAAAGAATCATGTTTGTCTTCCAAACAATACAACTAACTTCCCAACTTTAAACATGGGCACGAAGGGACATAAACTCACAGAACAGAAAGCACAAACCAGCAATAAACTATGTGAAAAACTGAAAAACAACCCAGCCAACTAGTAAGAGAAGAAATGCAAATCAAAACAATGAGAAAAAAAAATCTTAAGTTAAATTTGAAAAGACAGCTGTGTTGTTAAGGATACAAAAATAAGCATCTCAGGGAAAAAGAATCAATTTTTTGGAAGATAATTTAGAAAAGACTTAAGTATATTTTGCCTTTGACTCATCGAACTAGATTTTCTAGAATTTTAAAATCAGGCATGTGCAATAAAAGATTTTATAAGGGCAAGGAAAAATAGAAAACTTATAAACAATCTGTGCATTTATGCAGCCATTCTGAATCATAAGAATATCTAATAAAATCGGGGAATATTCGCGATATTTTGTTAAGTAGAATATATCCCAATTATGCCAAACACGCAATGAATACGCAAAGAAAAACCCCGGCGGACAAGTACTAAAATATTAAATGTAATTGGCTCTAGGAGTTCAACCTATGAGAGATTTGTACGTTCTCCATTTCCTATTTATGCAACAGGTTTTTTAAAAGGTGTTTTAAAAATAATTGTACAATTCAGAGATTGCCTTTGTTGAAAGCATGAAAGGACATGCACTTGTACTAGCCTGGAAACCTCGGGAAGTGTTTCCAAGGCCACCTGCTAGTGGGTGAGTCACGGGCACAGGTTCGCACCTGCCTACGCGGACGCCACACTGGCTGCCGAGCGTTTCCAAGCGAAGTGACCCCACGTGCACCAACGGCCATTCCGGCAGTCGCCCCGAGCCAGGCCCGCGGCCCCGGGGGAACCCGGCAACTTCGGCTCTTTCTTGATTTGTGCAATAGAGGCCTTCGATCCTGCTTTTGCATCCTCCGCTTGGAACAGATCTGCAGCGCACGCTGCCAGGTGCGCTCTTGCTTACTCCTGGGCGCGCTGCGGCCAGAGGTGCGCGGCCGCCGGGCAGCAGCCGCAGGCAGGTGCGGCCTGGGGAAGGCCCCGGGCACGACGCTCCGGGGGTGGAAGGCGACCTCTTTGAAGTCGGCCGACCGGCTCCGAGCCTTTAATAAGCCAGCGAAGACCGACCAGACCCAGTGACCGCAGCCCGGCCACGCGCTTGTCCCGGGACGAGCGTCCTCCGCAGCGGACAAAGGGTCGGGAAACTTGAGCTCAGGCTTGTCCCGGAAACTCCCGGCTAGGGGTCACCCAGGCAACGGGTTCGGGAGCTTAGAGGCCGCTCCGAGTTAGGGGGTGACCCGGCCTTTGCGGCCCCCGGCACGCCCCGCCCCCAGGCCGCGGCCGCCCGAGCCGGCGACTGACCCTCGGCAGCTCCTGTAGTCACGTGGCGCCTGGGAACCCGGCAGGGGGGAGGTTGGGGACGGGCCTGGCAGTTGTGAACTCGAACCTGCGGCTGTCGCCGCGCCGGGGTGGGGAGCGGGCCGCGGAGGCCAGCCTTCGGGCTCCATGGACGCGTGCCGCGGTCCTGCACAGCCCGCCGGAGAGGTACGGCCCAGGCCCGGGGCGCGGGGGGCATGGCGGGCCCGCGGGGGCGGCTCCACCTGCGGGGCGCGTGACCGTGAGTGTGCGCGACTGTGTGTGTCTGTGTGTGAGGGAGGGGGGCAGGGGGAGGAGGTTGCTGCTGGGTCCGCGGGCGGGGGGCGAGCGCACCTGCGCACAGGCTCCGCGAGCTGCGTCGTGCGTGGGACCCGATAAGGCTCAGTCGTAGGGGTGGACCCGTGTGTCCGTGAACGTGGACGAAGAACATGCACCAATACAAAGGGGGGGGGTGCGGGCCTCTAAACACCACTAGCCATCTAAGATGCCGAAGGGGCTTCTTCCAGAGTCCTGGTCACCGGGGCTCGGCACGTTGGGAAACAAACAGGCTTGGAATTCCTGTTGGGAGGGGGGTGGGGGAAGGGGAGCCAGTGGGGATACCAGAGTTACAGGCCGAAGCAGGCCTTTGGCTAGCAGGAAAAGCGCAGACCCTGGCCGCGGAAAGGAAAGGAAAGGGTTCTGCGACCCTTGCAGTGGAGGAAGTGTGGTCCCGAAGGCAGCAGTGCGCTTACTGCCCCGACGAAGGAGCACGCTCCTTTATCAGTCTGATATCCATTGTGGTCACTCTGCCGGGCAGGGTGTGGGGCTCTGTTGGGGGAGGGGTTGTGGCTATTGAGCACACCAAGATGACTGCCATGGAGGAGCTCGGAACCTCACACCTGTTTTCTCTCCCCTCCCCACAGGTAAGGCTGACCTCTCTGCAGTCAGAGGTCTAAGCTCTGCCATGGGGCTAGGGGTGTCTTTATTGCTGCAGTTTTCTCTGACATCTGGGGGCTACCGGAGTGTGGGCCGAAGCAGGCGTGGCAGCCGCAGAAGTATCCCCAGGAGGAGCTGGAAAAAGCCTGCTCCCCAGCTCTGCAGTTTACAGGGTAGAGTCTGGCCTTTGTTGTGTTTCCAAACCAGTCCACAGTGCCCCATGCTGGCAGGAGACAAGGGGCCTTTGGGGGAAGGACTCCTCTCCCACACCCTGGGGGTCATCCCTACACTCAGTCTGGCACTGGGGATGCGTCAGCTGTGTGCAGCCCTGAACAGACTGTAGGAAATTTCAGGAAGACGTGTCTGGAGCCCGTGAGCAGTCATGGAAGATCCCTTAGGGGTCTAATGGCCACCACAGCTCTTATTCTGTGTGGGAGGCTCTCCTGCAGGAATCTGGGCTCCCCCAAGCTGTGGGAGAGCTGAAAGCAAGGCAGCCCTTGGCAAGGCTGGGGCAGGACCAGGCAGGGGACAGATTACAATCTCTTCCTCCCTCTCTTTCTCTTGACTCAATAATCCCCAGCACCCCAAAGGAGGCAGAGCCAGGGTTTGGGCTCCCCCCACTCCTGCCAGGGCAGCAACCTGTGGGTGTTCCTGGGATTCAGGGAGAGCGTTCCTTCTTGCTGTGTTCTAATGGTGTGTGTGGGTGGAGGAGGGCAGGCGGGCAGAATGTGGGCACAGTCTGAACAGGTGGTGACCTGGTGTTAGCTGTGCTGGGAGTTGCACCCAGCGTGCCTCTCCTTTTCCCTGACAAAGCCCGTTCTCCTTTGCTCTCCAGAGAGTCGAAGGTTAGTGAGGCTGAAAGCGCCTCCCATGTGCTCTGATAGGAATGAAAGGCTATAGAAATTTCTTTCTTGGAGATCTTTGCAAACCCAGATGTATTAGAGGAATAATTGCCGGCCTGGGAGTTTAAGGGACCGGTCCCTGAGTCTTGGTTCTGCTGTTGGTTTATCATGTCTCCTGGGGCAGGTCCCCTCACCTGTGGTGCCCCACAGCTGCTGCATCAATCAGCCAGGGAGCCCAGGGTCTGCCTACCCAGCCTCACAGCTCTGAAGCTCAGAGATGGCAGTTGGAGGTAGAAACAAGAAGAGGACAGCAGGGAAGCACTTTGGAAAAGTCTAAAGCACTGCAGGGCGATGGGAGCGCATTCTCTGTTGAGTCCCTGGCAGGAATGTTTGAGCAGCCAGCGCTGGAGTGCTCACTCCTCGCCCGACACTGGGGTAGCTGTCAGGAGGGGGATTCCAAGAAGTGTCAGGGTCCCTCTCTTCTGGAAATTTGCAGGGCAATAAAGGCATGAGACAAACATCCTTGAAATGTCATCTAGACACCCAAGAGTAAAACAGTATGTAAGGTACAAAGAAATGGGAGAGTAGTCTAGAGTGATGGAGTTCACAGCTGGTGGCTGAGCCCCACCCTTCTCACCTTCCTGGGAGGATCCGGGTCAGGGGAGGGCTCTGGAGTGACTATGCGTTTTCACCCCAGCAGAGGCAGGACCCATGCTGGAGCATCGCTGCAGGGACCCCCTGGCCATGGGACCAGCCCAGCCCCGACTCATTTCTGGGACCTCCCAGAAGTCACCCCAGAGCCTGGAGACGGAGTCCCGCCGGCTGAAGCAACAAGGCACCTCAGTGGCCCAGGCTCCTGGCCAGGCCCCAGGCAGGGCCCATCGCTGCGCGCACTGCCGAAGGCACTTCCCAAGCTGGGTGGCCCTGTGGCTTCACACCCGGCGATGCCAGGCCCGGCTGCCCCTGCCTTGCCCCGAGTGTGGCCGTCGCTTCCGCCATGCCCCCTTCTTGGCCCTGCATCACCAGGTCCATGCCGCAGCCACCCCACACCTGGGCTTCACCTGCCACCTCTGTGGGCAGAGCTTCCCAGGATGGGTGGCCCTGGTTCTGCATCTGCGAGCCCACTCAGCTGCAAAGCGGCCTATCGCTTGTCCCGAGTGCGAGAGACGCTTCTGGAGACGCAAGCAGCTTCGAGCTCATCTGCGGCGGTGCCACCCGCCTGCCCCTGAGGCCCGACCCTTCATCTGTGGCAACTGTGGCCGGAGCTTTGCCCAGTGGGACCAGCTAGTTGTTCACAAGCGTGTGCATGTAGCCGAGGCCCTGGAAGAGGCAGCAGCCAAGGCTCTGGGGCCCCGGCCGAGGGGCCGCCCTGCAGTGACCGCCCCCAGGCCCGGCGGGGATGCGGTAGACCGGCCCTTCCAGTGTGCCTGTTGTGGCAAGCGCTTCCGGCACAAGCCCAACCTGATCGCCCACCGCCGCGTGCACACCGGCGAGCGGCCGCACCAGTGCCCCGAATGCGGGAAACGCTTCACCAACAAGCCCTACCTGACTTCACACCGGCGCATCCACACTGGCGAGAAACCTTACCCGTGCACTGAGTGCGGCCGCCGCTTCCGCCACAAACCCAACCTGCTATCGCACAGCAAGATCCACAAGCGGTCGGAAGGCTCTGCTCAGACTGCCGCCCCGGGTGCCGCGAGCCCCCAGCTGCCAGCCGGGTCCCTGGAGCCCCTGGCAGAGCCACCTGCAGAGGCCGTAATGCAGTTAATCCAGGGGCCTGCACCGGATTCTGCGCGGGAGGTGCTCTCAGAGCCCCGGCAGGACCAGGCTGAGACCCCGGCCTCACTCTACAGCTGCGACGACTGCGGCAGGAGCTTCCGGCTCGAGCGCTTCCTGCGCGCCCACCAGCGCCAGCACACTGGGGAGCGGCCCTTCACCTGCGCCGAGTGCGGAAAGAACTTCGGCAAGAAGACCCACCTGGTGGCGCACTCCCGGGTCCATTCCGGCGAGCGGCCCTTCGCCTGCGAAGAGTGTGGGCGCCGCTTCTCCCAGGGCAGCCACCTGGCTGCCCACCGGCGCGACCACGCCCCCGAGCGGCCCTTCGTCTGCCCCGACTGCGGCAAGGCTTTCCGTCATAAGCCCTACCTGGCCGCCCACCGGCGCATCCACACCGGCGAGAAGCCCTATGTGTGCCCCGACTGCGGCAAAGCCTTCAGCCAGAAGTCCAACCTGGTGTCCCACCGGCGCATCCACACGGGCGAGCGGCCTTACGCCTGCCCCGACTGTGACCGCAGCTTTAGCCAGAAGTCCAACCTCATCACCCACCGCAAGAGCCACATCCGGGACGGCGCCTTCTGCTGCGCCATCTGCGGCCAGACCTTCGATGATGAGGAGAGACTCCTGGCTCACCAGAAGAAACACGACGCCTGAAGGGGGCGGGCAGTGGAGGCGTGGGTGTCCCCGCAGGAGCTGGCGGAGATGTGTGGGTGGTTGCCTTGGTGCTGGTGGTGGGGACGTATGGGAAACCCGCTGGGGACAGAGGAGGCCAAGTTAGCTGGGCCTGGTTAGGGGGGGAGTTCAACACCCCCCTACTCCACCCCTTCCCCACGGTCAGGGCATCCACTTTAGGAAGCAAGGCCCGGGCCTCCAGCTGGTGTTTGCTGAGGCTCTCTCCTGACTGTTGTGCCCGGGAGAAGTAGCAATGGCAGCTCGGTCTAACCCTTAGAGCCCTGCGCTTAGAGGGACCTCCTGTGGAAAGGAAGGCCCGGCATCCTCTGGTGTTAACGCCTTAACGCCCCCGTCTTTTCCCGTGAATTACTCCGGATCGGAAGTAGGTGTGGTACAGTCCTTAGTAAATGAGCACTCGGGGATGAAAAGTGGGCCAGCTGGGTACACCTTGGAGAGCCTGCCCGCCTCGTTAGACAACACCTGAGCCTGTTCCAGCATTCAGAGCTGAAGCCCAGCTGCTCTTTACCTCTCCTCCCCCCCCCCCCCCCGCCCCTGCGTAGGCCTCGGGAAGACCTAACTACCGTTAGCCCGTCCTCTTCCTCTGCAGAGATCAGTCCCCGCAGGGCATTTTCTCACTGATGTGTCTGGCTTTATCCACCACCCCTCAGTACGTAGGGTTCCCCTGGCTGCCAGCAGCCCCTTCTGCAGGCTTTTTGTCTGAGCTCACCAACCCCTCCTTCCAAAGCTGGACAGCTGTGGAAGGTCTCCGATGGTGAGGAGGCCAGCCGCAGGGAGGACACTTGGTGAGTTTCCTTTTCCACATCGCTAGCGGCTGGATGCTCAGCCTCTGCTTGGGCACCTCCACCTCCTGAGGCCCTGGTTCTACTGTAGGATGATTCTAATTCTTAGAAGTTCTTCCTTATAATGAGTGAAGTCCGCTTTCCTATGATTTCTACCTACTGGGCCTCGTTCTGTTCTCTGACACTGAAGAGAACGACTATTTACCCTCCTTTTCAGACTATAGAGAATAAAGATTTGGTTTTAGAACTGGTGGCTGAGGTGTGTTCTTTTCTGGGGTGCCATGGAGTTGGAAGGAGAAGCAGCATGCACTCCTTCCAAGGCAGGGGTGGGTGCAGAGCAGGAGGGGGCACTCTGGCAAGCAGGCCAAGTGCCCGACCTGCTGAGTCCCTGTACAGCCCTACTCCACTTCCGTGAGGAGGAGGAGGCCATCACACTCCGAAGCTGGGCTGATTTTCTGGGTGGTAGGCCAGGGCTCCAGAATGTTCACTTCTTGGAACCCAGGTCTTGGTTCCTGGCTACCTGGCCCATTATGGTAGACCCAGGGTTGCCATTGTCTCCATCACCACTTTGGCCTTCATATCACCGTGGTGGGCATTGAGAGACACTTTCTGAGGAGCAGTGGACATTATAGACTTCCATTCGATTTGGACCCTCTCTCCAATGATAGCATGAAGAGTGAGTCTTCGAGTGGAGTCCATTCTGTGCTTCAAAGACAGCTCTCACGTCCCATGTACACTGGATGTATGCAGAGCCACATGGAGTTCATAGCCTTCTTTGGAGTCAGGCCAGTCTTTACAGGCTTGTTTCCAGGTGACAAAGGAGGGCAGATTTGATTGATCCTTCAGTCCCTCCCTGGCTGGCCCCATGGCAGGTCCCTAGGTCTCTGCTGACTGTCCCTGGGTATGTGGCCTTGCACTGGTGGTTTCATACAAATATGACTGCCTCTTTTTGTTAGGCACCAATGGGCTTTTTCTTGCCTGCCTTAGTAATTTCTGCACGAATCCTGACACTGAGTGTAAGAATATGATGCATAAGAATAATCATACTTCATGTGCACAGTACCTTGCAAAGAGGTTTTCTTAAATGATCTAGTGCAGTTCTTGGTGCGGTAGGTACTCTTAATCTCCTTTCACAGGTGAAGACATTTGCCCATGGTTGCATAACTGGTAATGAGCAGAGGCAGATTCAAATCCAGGTCTGTCTGGCTCTTGTCCACTCCCTCATGCTTGTTGGATGCATACTGCTGCGTTTCGTTAAAGTAAGTAATCAGTGTCTACTGTGTGTGAGACAATCATTGCAACCAGAGGGTTCCACAACTAAGGTCCAGTCCCTGCCCCTATAACGGCCTGGGTCTGAGGAGGACATAGATGGGTGTGATGAGTAGGGCTCAGAGCTTGGATGAAGGAAGGCAGCAGCATAAAAACTTTGCATGGGGTTAAGTGGCCACTTCAACACCTGTGTAGTTGATTGGCAAATGATCTGTCAGAGTATAGAGCAGAGGACATGGTCCCAGGAAAGCTCCACTCACATCTGTTCTTTGAAGGAACACTGGGCGTCTATGGAAGGGGAGATGACCGGGAATGATTACATACGTGTCGGGGATCACAGGCGGAAGGTGGTGGACAGGTCCTTGGGCATTTGGATCAGAAATTCCCTCCTGACGATCTACAGTCTTTGTTTTCTTCTACAGTTGTAAACTGTAAATTATCTTTTAAAAATTAAAAACAGTGAAGACGATCTGTATTTTAAATATGAAAGTCCTCTCCTCCCACCCCAAGTTCTTCCTCTGCACACCATGAAGAGTTTGAGGAGTGTTCATTTTTTCTGTGCATTTGCAGATGAACATAGGCACCCCTCCCCCTTTTCTCAATGGATGATCCCAGGTGTGCGTCACGGCACATCTTTCCATCCCTGGAATACACCAGGTCATGGGAATGTCCATCTGGAGGAAGTCTTTCACTCCACAGAGGAGCTAGCAAGCCCAGGGAGTGGAAATGACTTTCCCAGGGTCACACTTCCCAGCCAATGGCAGATCCGGAAACGAGAGTGAATTCCACAAGCCTTTGTGGAGGTTCCTGTAGATACTCCGGAAAACACAGATGCGTGAGAGACCCTAAAAGGATAGTCAAAGGTGTCCTTTGGTAGGGTTTTGTGTGTGTGTGGCCAAATAGAACTATAAAAATCCAGCAAAGCAGATAAGTGGCTAGAAAATTATTAACAATTTTACAGACGGATAAGTCAAAGTCCAGAGTCAGAAAAGCCTCTTTTGCAAAAACTGTACATGAAGTTAGTGCCAAAACAGATAGAGCCTCAGCGGCCCCCAGCTTCTTTTGTGTTATTACAGCTAAACAGCAGCTGGGCCTAGGGCCAAAGGCTTACTCACTCTGCTGCTGACTGATTAGGGGAAGGAAGGTCCACCTGCTTTGTAGTGAGGGTTTGCAGGAAGTCCCAGAGGGAGGCCCTGCTTCTGTTTGTAGCAAGCTGCTGTCCCAGAGACGTTTCTAAGCAGCCCTGGGGAGAATCCTGCCTGTGGGAGTTGACCTAGCTGTGCCTCATGTGAGGTCGAGGTGTGAGGTGTTTCCCTTCCATAGGGGATGTGAGGGAGATAAGAGATACCCTTTCCTGAAAGTCTCTGGGACCAGATTAGCAGCTGAGATGATTCACTCTTCCAACCCTGTGAGCTTGAAACTGGACCCGAGAACTTGACCTTCCCAGATTCCCGTTCCTCAGCTAGCAAACACCGGGGTGAATGTCATGGTGCCCAAGGGGGTTTGTCTGGCACCGTGGCTGCGGCGGTGTCGGGCGCCCTCCTCTGCAGCACACGGGCACGCGCACGCGGCACGTGCACTCTACTGCTGGTTGCACGCCGGGTGTGTGTGTAGTGCCACCGACTGAACAGTTTTCAGGCGGGAAAGAAAAGGACTCCACCAGATAAGACGCGCTCTCGAGGACACGCTCTCGGGGCAGTCCCAGAGGGATTCGCAGCGCCGAGAACAGTGGCTGGCGCGCTCTGGGCGCTCCGGGAGCAATTGCTGAGCGGACGGCAGAAGGTGCTCTCCAAGTAGGCAATTTCAGAACGTGCAGGGAGCGGACAGTTCACAGGCTGGGCTCTCAGGTTCTGGAGGAGTCTCGGCAGGTGGGCGCCCCACCACCCCGCCTCCGCCCGGGGCCACGACCTTCGCCCGAAGGCGAACCCAGTAACCGCGCCAGCGCCCCTAAAGCCCGAGGGGGGCGAGGTCAGCTCGTCCGCCTCCCCGCCTATTGGCTCTGGAGAACAAAGGGCCGCCCCGAGGGCTTCTCCGATAGGGCCGGGCGGGTCATCTGAGCGGCACAGCCAATCAGGTGGCGGGGAGGCCCTGGGGACGGCCAGGCCCATCAGCCAATCCGGCGCGCGCGCCCGCCCTGCCTGCCCCCCGACTGGCCAGGGCCGGCGCCCGGTGCCCAAGTCGCCCCCGGGGTGGCAGTTCCCGTTAACCTTAGCCACAAAGTCAAAGGTATTTATTTCCCCGGCCCCCTCCCTCCAAGTCTCTGCTTTTCGGGCGGGGGTGGGGGACGGCGGTGCAAGGGATGGCCCAGCGCCCGGCCCCGCTGCTCCTGCGCCGCCTCCAGTCGGCCCCGGCTGGAGCGGAGAGGTGGGGCAGGGGTCCCTGAGCCCCGCGCGACCCCAGTCCTCCGGGTTCCAAACTTTCCTCAACCCCCACACTGTCCTGGGGGAAGGGACCTGTGCGGGGGATAGGGAGGGCTGCAGGCCAGGGCAGCGAGGTCCAGGAGGGAGGCCGGTGAGGACGCGAGGACGGACATGATGATGAGCGGACCGGGTGGCGATAGGAGGGTCGCCCATCCCGTTGTTCTGAGTTCCCCGTTTGTGTCCGCCTCTCTGATGCCCACTCTGCAGAGTGACTCATAGTAGGTGCTCAATAACTGTGTGATTAAATGAGTGGGGATGAGGATCGGGAGTGAACAGTGGGAGGCAGGTGTCACAGAAGTTGCAAGTGTGTGCCTAACAGGGGGTGTTTCCAAAACGCCCATCCCAGGAACCTGGGCGCAGCAGCCGGATGTCAGTGGGGTGGGGTGGTGCGTGTCTTTCTCCGTGAAGGTGGGCGGTATGGAGATGCTGCCTCCTTCAGCCCTTTGGGCAAGATGGAGCCTGCAGTGGGTCTTGGAATGCCGCAGCCGGGGCTGGGTGTGGTCACAGTGACAGTCCAGACTCCACTGTTAGCAGTGCCTTTTGGGTCCTCATGTTCATCTATAAAATGAGCGGATGGCATTTGTATCTTTTTAGCCTCCAGGGTTCCATGATTCCCTGTTTCTAATCCGCTTTGGACTGAAATTTGTTTAAATGTTCCCACATAGTAGTTTTTATTAATTGTTTAGTGTGTGCAGGGCCTCTTTTAGATGCTGAAGAGAGAGAAGGAGAGACACTCTTGTGTTAAGGAGCACGCAGTTTTGTTGAGACAGATAAAATATTGATGATGATGATGAGTCCATAGAGCTGTTACCAGGTTGGATGGTTCAAAGGAGAAGAGGCACTTAATTGAGACGTGTGTATCTAAAAAGGCATTGTGGGCAAAGTGATACCTGATCTGGGCTGGGAAGGGACAGTCTGGCATTCTGAGACTGGTCAGAGGCACACAGGCCAGTGAGGGCAGGGCGAGTTCAGGAACCAAATATTGAGAGGATAGAGTGCAGTCGGGAAGTGAGCAAAGGCCAGATTTTGAATGGGCTTGCTAAGAAATTTGCAACTAAATCTGCAAGTGTGGAGGCTTTTGTTTTGTTTTGTTTCAGTTAGGACTAATGTGTACTATGATGTTAAGTCATTTTAGCTTTTGCACATGCATGTCACACTTCTGGCTGGTAACGGAGAAAAAAAGTGCAGCATTGTACTGCTAGGTTGCATCCATCCCTTGAACTAGTATCAACGTCAAGGTGATCATCCTCACTGTCAGACTTCAGCTGTACATAAAGTACATTAAGCAAAGTAGTAACATGTCCAAATTTCAATTGTAGAACATTTGCCTTGAGTCTGGGGTGGCAGATTAGAGAGAGCAAGATAAATCATGAAAGTGTTGGAGTCAACCACAGGAAAACCAGTGAGGCCTGAATTCAGACATCAGTAAGTCTGGAGATGTTAGAGATGTTAAAAATAGCATTGTTGGGACTTAGCGTCCCCCCCGCCATTGGTTGTGAGGCGGTTTGCACTCTGTGGTAGAGAAAGGTGTGGAGGTTTTGAGACGTCTGATAAAGATCCAC